CGGGCTCAGGCAATCCACTCACCTCAGCCTCCCAAAGGCGCGGGATTACAGGCTGAGCTACCGAGCCCGGCTAAATGCTTTAATTTTTAAGATCTTTAAGTCATCTAAAGCCCTCCACATGTGCTTTGAAACCTGACTTATGGTCTCCAGGGGTTAGATTTCACCTTTTCTATCAGACCATTCCTAGCAGTTTAAATATAGCACTAATAGAACTTTCTGTTTTGATAGAAAAGTTCTTTATGTGTGCTGTCCAATACAGTTGTCACTTGTCACCTGTGACTACTGAGCACTTGAAATGTGGCTTGTGTGACTGAGAAACTTAATTTTTTATTTTATCTACTGTAATTAAATAGCCACATATGGCTAATGGCTACCATATTTGACAGCATGGCTCCTATCTCCTACCCTAAATAAACTTTGCCTTGGCCCCTATTTCTCTATTGTTTTCATTCATTCCTCATCTTCTATCTACTCCTTTTTCAATCTAGTTTCAAATTAAATATATTGTATGCTCTGCTTTGGGCAAGAACATCAGTGTCTCCCTGTTGCCAAATCCAATATATCTGTACATACTAATGTCCATTTAACACAATGTTCACCACAATTCCACCCCAAATACTCTCCTCCCTTTGCCAAGACATCAGTCTCCTGGTTTTCCTCCTCCTTCTCGATGTTCCTACTCAGGCTCCTTCTCTTCTCTCCAACTTTTATTAATGATCTGCGTTCACAAAGGCTCAGTTCTTGGACTCCTTTTCTTATCCCTTTATATATATATATATATATATTTATTTATTTTGCCAGGAGCGGTGGCTCATGCCTGTAATCCCAGCACTTTGAGAGACCAAGGCATGAGGATTGCCTGAGTCCAGGGGTTCGAGATCAGCCTGGGCAACTTGGAAGACTTCGTCTCCACAATAAATAAAAAAATTAGCTGGGCGTGGTGGCAGGCAACTGTAGTTCCAGTTACCTGGGAGGCTGAGGCGGAGGGATAGCCTGAGCCTAGCAGGTTGAGCTGTGGCGGCTGTGAATGTGACACTTGTACTCCAGCCTGGACAACAGTGAGACTCTGACTCAAAAAAAAAAAAAAAAAAAGATTTTTTTCTTTCCCCTAATGAAGGGAGTGGGGAAATGGAGTTATAGCTTTTTTTCTATGAAAGGAGTGGGGAAATGGAGTTTGCAATTAAAATATAATCCAAATTCCTTTCCATAAGCTTTAGTCTGAATGACCTGTCACCGGCCTAACTCTCCAATTCTTCACCTTCCATTCTCTCCTCATTTCACCCAGTCCTGGTTTCACGACTTCTTTCAATTGCTCTATCACGCCAAGTCATTTTAGGGTTCTTGTACGTGCTTTTTCTTTTTGTGGTCCACTCGATCCCAGTCTTTGCCTGCTTTTGCTCTTTCCCATCCTTACCTCTTGGCTTAAATGTCATCTCTTCCGAGGCCCTCTCTAACTACCTTAACCAGATTATCTCCTCCTCTTTATTCCTTCAAAACCGTGCCGCCGTATTTTTGGTATTCGTGGGTCTACCATTCAGGTCGGCTACCTCCCCACCGGCACCGAAAGCCCTCGCGGGCAGAGGCAATGGGGGTTTTGCTCTCGCGCATCTCGTCGCAGCCTCCGGCACAGCACCTGACACGTGGGGGCGCAGGGGAAAATTGCTGCGGTCTGAAGGCACTAACCTAAGGGTGGAGAGGAGACGGGATGCGGGCGAGAGGGGAAGCGGGCGAGACGGGATGCCGGCGAGAGAGAACACAGACGGCGCGACACCGCCGAGCCGGCTG